CTCAACACATTCTATGGTTTTTCTTGAGAACTACTAATACAAACAAGAAAGAAGGGAAAACTGGGTTGGTTTAAGTTCACCCAGAGAACTGTCCTGCATATGCCTATCTTGCATAGAGTAACAAATATTTATTCAATAATTTGTTCTATTTCTCTAATGTCTACTCTGTGCTGGGAGCTGTTTGATGTACTGGGGTACAGCAGGAAAGTAAACAAAGCCCTTGTTCTCATGGAGGTTTTTGTTCTAGTGCTTTAAGATCAAGTCTAGCTGATTTGTGAAGAAAAGGAAAAATAAAACAGGTGTTCTGCACAATTTTATTTTGAAAAGGGCATAAAAAGCTAATATCTCATGTTAGCATACAGATGTTTAACAAAAGCATACAAGTTGATAAAGATCAATACGTGAATATAGAATACAACTGAAAGTTTTAAAAAATAGATTGAATTTAACAGTTAAAATGTCTTCCAGTCTTTAGAAACACAAATGCCATTGAATTCTCTATTCCTATTAAGTTTCCATTTTCCCCAGTGTGAAAATGTACTGTGAGTCTCCTGGGTCTCTAAGCAAACTGTCCCCTTCCCTTACCAAATAATCCAGCAGATGCTTTTGAGTCTGACAACAGTACTTAGAACCAACAATTTCTAACTGTAGAGTGTGTACTCAACTCTTACAGCCACCAAAAGTTGCCTCTTACTCTTAGACCCTGTGCCCCTTCCTCCGTGAACATTTCCAGGCATTTAAGTAGTATGAAGTCAGAAGTTACTGGGGATACACAGCTTGTGAGAAGCGTAGGAAGTAACTTTCTGTGTGGGAAGGTAGTGTGACCTGGGGTTCAAAATCTGTTTTCCTGGATTACTGCTATCTTCCACCTCTGTGATATTTGGCACTGCATTTTAATAGCTTTGTATTTCTGGAATGCTGACATGGAGATTGGAACAGTAATCTCTGAAAGCACTGTAATTTCAGTGCTGTCTTCTTTCTAGTGTAATTTTCAGGTGTTTTCTATTTCCTATGTCAGATGCTGAGACCAACATTGACAATGAGTCCACATCAACACAGGAAATGTCTGGAGAAAGAGATATGATGATATCACATAGGCTTCTGGGGAGTATTTAACAGGAAACTAACTTTCCAGAAACATATGATGTGGAGAAGCACCAGGAAATCACTATGGGGAAAACTATTCAAGGAAAGGTTCTAAGAATCCACTATGCAAGGAAACCCTTGAGATGTCAGGAGTGTGGGAGATGCTTCAGCTTTTTTTTTTTTTTTTTTTCTACCTTAGAACCAGAGAATCCACACTGGGGAGAAACCCTATCTATGTGAGGAGTATGGGAAATTCTATAATGGCAATTCTTCATTAATTTGGCACCAGAGAATCCATACTGGAGAGAAACCCTATCAGTGGGAGGAGTGTGGGTGAGCCTTTATTAATAGTGCCAATCTGATCAGGCATCAGAGAATCCACAATGGGGACAGACCCTATCTCTGCAAGGAGTGTGGAAATGGCTTCCCCAGTAGTTCTAAGATGGTTATACATCAGAGAATCCATACTGGGGAGAAACCCTATGAGTGTAATGAGTGTAGGAGACCTTTTGTCATTAAATCCACCTTGGGTTGGCATCAGAGAATTCAAAGAGTAGAGAAACCCTATGAGTGTAACAAGTGTGGGAAAACCTTCAGGACTTTCTCCCAGCTGCACCATCATGAGTACACCCACTCTGGAGAGAAGCCTATGCTGGACCTTGGTTCTATTGGGCTCCCAGAATTGTTTTTTACACCTTTTTCATGGTAATTCCCTCTTTTGTGTGGTGGGAACCACTCTGCCCCCACTCAACAGTTCATGTGTTTTCAGTGGGGCTCTGTTCCCCACCACAGGCATGGAACATGTGGTCTAGTGTGACCCATCTATACCATTCTTTCTGTCTAGCCACAGTGAATGGGTTTGGGGACCAACACTGATACAATCAGGATGGACCCTGTGACCATCTACCAGGAAGTGACATTCTTTTCTGCTGGTGTTGGATGTTAGCTTTGATCCATATGAAGGCTGAGAAGACAGCCAACCTTACAGATGACAAACTGAGAGATGGAAAGAACTAAATGTATCTCTGGACTTTTTAGTGTTATGAATCAATAAATTCCAGTGGTTTTTGTTTTGTTTTTTTGCTTAAGTAGTTTTGAGTTGGATTTTCTGTCACTTGTAACACAATCCTTACTGATACATAGCTATTCCAATGTCTCATGTGTTTCAAAGCCTTTGGAATTAACATAACCTGATTTGCCATCAAGTCCATACTATGAAGAACCTTTCATAGGTATGATGTGTTAGAAAAGCTGTAGCCGTGATTCTAATGGTTGACACACAGGTTAACACTCTTAATGTGAATGGGGAAAGCCATTAACTCTCAGTTAAATCAGTTGCACATTCAGGCATCCCTAATGGATGGAAATTAAAACAATTTAAGCACTATAATGAAAATTTTAAGCTATCATAAAATTAAATCTCCATCAAATGAATATTCTGTAGGGAAGATGGTTTTTTTTTTTAAACTCTTTAAAAGGAAGTATTTATTTGCTACTCAGTTTCTAATAGAAATGATGCCAACATTTTAATCTTATTTTAGATATTTCAAGATATTTCTTTTTTGATCTATCATGGAGAAGATACTAGTGCTTTTCTAATTGAATCATCTTTATGTTCTTATAAATTTAGTTGGATCTTTTTAAGTTTTTTCTTTTTTCTTTTTCTCTTTCTTTCCTTTCTTTTTTCTCCTTCCTTCCTTCTTTTCTTTCTTTCCTTTCTCTCTCTCTCTCTCTCTCTCTTTCTCTTTCTCTTTCTCTCTTTTTCTCTTTCTTTCAAGACTGGGTCTCACTCTGTTGCCCAGCCTGGAATGCAGTGGTATCATTACAGCTCACTGCAGCCTTGACCTCCCAAGTGCAGGTGATCCTCCCACCTCAGCCTCCCAAGTAGCTGGGGCTATAGGCGCATGCCACCACACCTGGCTGTTTGTGATTTTTTTTTTTTTTTTTGAGATGGAGTTTCACTCTTGTTGCCCAGGCTGGAGTGCAATGGCGCGATCTCGGCTCACTGCGACCTCCGCCTCCTGGGTTCAGGCAATTCTCCTGCCTCAGCCTCCTGAGTAGCTGGGATTACAGGCACGCGCCACCACGCCCAGCTAGTTTTTTGTATTTTTAGTAGAGACGGGGTTTCACCATGTTGACCAGGATGGTCTCGATCTTTCGACCTCGTGATCCACCCGCCTCGGCCTCCCAAAGTGCTGGGATTATAGGCTTGAGCCACCACGCCTGGCCCTGTTTGTGATTTTTTTAGAGATGGGGTTTTGCCATGTTGCCCAGGCTGGTCTTAAACTCCTAAGCTCAAGCAATCCACCTGCCTCGGCCTCTCAAAATGTTGGCTTTACAGGCGTGAGTCACCATGCCCAGCCTTAAGTTTCTTTAGCTCCTGCGGGATTGTATTTTTTAATATATTTAGGATATTGGCATCTATATTCATAAGTGACATTTCCCTCTAATTTTCCTGCCATCTTTGTGAAGACTTGAGCACTAGATCATACCAGTTTACTAAATGTAGTTCAGAGGCTGTTCCTTCTCTGTGTTCTGGAAAGGTTGAATAACAGTTATCTGTTCTTGGGATGTTTGAAAACAAAATCCACCTATAGAGCTGCCTGAGCCAATGCTTTTATAGGTAGAAATAGGGAAGATAACTTTATCAGTTCCTTCCATGGCATAGATAAATTACATTTTCAATTTATTCTTGAGCCAGTGTTGATGATTTATAATTCCATATTGACATTTAAAAATCCATTAGCCCAGAAATATATCCAACTGATCTTTCCTGTATATATATGTATGTAAGTAGAGAGAGGGTCTTGCTGTATTGACCAGGCTGGTCATGAACACTTGGCCTCAAGCAGTCCTCCCTCTTTGGCCTCCCAAAGTGCTGGGGTTACAGGCATGACCCATCACACCCAGCCCTATTTAAAAAAATATTTTCAACATATGCCCCTTGTCATTCCCAAGTTTACTGGTCTATAAAACCTCTATCAAGAGTTTTTATTACTCATTTACTTGCAAAAGCTTGACATTATCATAATAATGTCTAGAACAGCATGCCTTTCCTGATCTTTGATCTGGTTAGGGAGCTTTTGGTTCACAATCTGAAGCAAGGTTTTTCAAACTTGGCACTATTGATATTTGGGACCTGATCATTTTTGGTGGGGGCTGTCCTGTGCACTGTAGGATGTTTACTTGTATTCCTGGCCTGTAGCAGGAAAATGCACATCCTCAGGGAATGGCTGGGGCTCCGGTAGCCCTCAGAGCAGAATCTTATCCTCAGTATTACCACAAGTTGGAGGAGGAGAGAGGAGGAGCTAAGAGAAAACACAGGACTTGGCAATCAGTATCAGTTGGTTTTTATGGCAAGGTAGGTTACAAGTGGGTACAGACACAGGGAGGCCATCTGAGATACCTCTGGAGGCATCTGGGGGTAGCACTGGAACACAGGCTGCCCAGCCCCTTGTTAAGGCATTCATTCCAGGGTCCAGCCATCAGATGTCGGGGCAGACAAAATGAAGCGTATTGGTATATATCATACCACCCATATTTTCTCAGAGTTTTAGATTTACTTCATTTAGAGTTTTAATCCGCCTGAAATTAATTTTTGTAATTGTGTGAAGAATCTAATTCTATTCTCCTATTGAGATATCCAAATGTTCCCATATTATTTATTGAATAATGCCTCCTTTCTCCATTTTTTTCCCCCTCAGTTTGATTATATGATTAGCATACCTGATTTCCACAAAAGGTCTTACTGGGATTTTGAATGGGATTGCTTTGAATACTTAGATTGATTTTGGGAGAATTGAATTTTTTTTTTTTTTTTTAGACAGATTCTTGTTCTGTTGTCCAGACTAGAATGCAATGGCATAATCTCAGCTGACCACAACCTCTGCCTCCTGGGTTCAAGCAATTCTCCTGCCTCAGCCTCCTGAGTAGCTGGGACTACAGGTATGTACCACCACACTCGGCTAATTTTTGTATTTTTTTTTAGTAGAGGTGGGGTTTCACCATATTGGCTTTTCTGGCCTTGCTCTTGCTAGGACTCCCAATATGATGTTAAATAGTAGTTAAGTGCAGACATATCTGCCATATTCACAATATTGAAGGGAAAGACATTCTTTCATCATTAAGTATATTTTCAGCTGCAAGGAGAGAATAACATTGAATTATATGTCAATATAGCTACTGCAGCACAATATTTAGCTTAACTACATATATTTGGCAGCCAAGATGAAAATGACTTCATGCGTGAAACTGAAGTTCCACCACAGCCTCAGCCAATTTGTGGCTAGGATTTTCAGAGATGTGGGAAAGAAGTTAGCATTTTCTCCATTTTCAAGTCAGGAGTAACAGTAAATATGCCATGATCATATACTATAGTCTGGGTACCATGATCTGCTATTACTCATAGCTTCAGTTAAAGATATTACAGGAGTTAGAGGGAGACCTGGGTAGTTAGGCTGTGAGGTAACCAGAAAGGTGCCTCCCATTCAAATCTAAGGAATGGTCAGGCTTGAAAATAATTATGTTTGATGAGAGAGACTGTGACAGATATGAATATGAGTATCATATTAGTCCATTCTCACAATGCTATACAGGCCTACCTGAGAATGAGTAATTTATAATGAAAAGAGGTTTAATTGGCTAACAATTCTATAGGCTGTACAGGAGGCATGGCTGGGAGGCCTTAGGAAACTTAGCATCATGGTGGAAAGCAAAGGGGAAGCAGGCACAATCTTCATATGGCCAGCAGGAGAGAGACAGCAAAGGAGGAAGTGCTACACACTGTAAAACAACCAGATTGCATGAGGACTCACTATCAGGAGAACAGTAAGGGGGAAATCCACCCCCATGATCCAATCACCTTCCACCAGGCCCCTCCTCCAACACTGAAGATCGTAATTCAACATGAGATTTGCCAGGGGACACAGAGCCAAACCATATCAAGTATATATTTCCCTAGAGGTGATACGATGGCTGGGGAGCCAGGCCAGTGTGAATTAGCTATTATTATTAATTATCTTGAAAACTGGGAGACTTTCTAGACAAATGAGAGTAGAAATTTGCTTCCTTCCCAATCCCTGCAAAAGAAAAACAAGTTATACCCAACTCTTTTTGTTTTTTATTTTAGTGCTCCCATCTTCTGGCCAAGAATATGCTCAACTCTTCACCAAGTAAACACGCAGGTTCCCATGTTTCTAAAAACTGATAAAATTAGCAATAAGTTTTTGTTTTATACCTAGACTTAATGGACATTTATGTGATGTAGATATCCAGAATAAGCAAATCTATAAAGTAAGAAAGTGGTTGTCTAGAATTGGGCGAAGAAGAGAAGGTGTGTACTTATTTGTGTATTAATTTTCTATTGCTGTTGTAACAAATTGCCATGAGTAGTGGCTTAAAACAACACTAATTTATCTTACAGTTTTGGAGGTCAGAAATCCAAAGTGGGTCTCACTGATATAAATTCAGGATTTAGACTAAGGAAAGAATCTGTTTCCTTGCCTTTTTTATTCTCTGGAGGCCACTCACTTTCCTTGACCCTTGGTCCCTTCTTCCATTTTTGAAGCCAGTGAAGTTGGGCTAAGTCCTTCTTGTGCTCTCATCTCTGTGGTTCTCTTTCAATTTCCTCCTTCATGTTCAAGAACTCTTATGACACTGGGCCCATCTGAATAATCCAAGATGATAATTTTTTAAAATTTATTTATTTTACTTTAGGTGCATACTATATCTGGCATTTCTCCCCATGTTAACCCTCCCCACCCTCCTCTAAGACAGGGTCTCACTTTGTTGCCCAGGCCGAAGTGCAGTGGCTCAATCCAGGCTCACTGCAGCCTTGATCTCCCAGGCCCAAGTGATCCTCCCAGCTCAGCTAGTAACTGGGACTACGGGCCTGTGCCCACACCTGGCCAATTTTTGTTCCTTTTTGGGATTTTTTTTGGTAGAGACAGGGTTTTGTCATGTTGCCCAGGCTGTTACAAACTCCCAGGCTCAAGCAATTTGCCCACTTGGGCATCCCACAGTGCCGGGATTACAGATGTGAACCACTGCTCCCAGCCCCAAGGTAATCTTAAAATCATCTGATTAGCAATCTTAATTCCACCTGCAACCTCATTTTCCCTTTGTCACGTAACCTAACATACTCACAGATTCTAGAGATCAGGACATGGACATCTTTGAGGGGAAAAAAACACCATTCTGTTTACCACAAAGAAAATGGAGAATGGCTGCTGATGGTTATGAGATATCCTTTGGGGAGATGAAAATGCCCTGAAATTGACTGTGGTGATACTTGCACAAGTCTGTGAACACACTAAAACCTATTTAATTTTATACTCTACATGGATGAATAGTATGGTGTGTGAATTAAGTGTTAATAAAGCAGGTATGTGTGAGTGTTCAGTATTTCTAAAACTAAATTATTTCACCTTCTTTCCTGAAACCAACTCCTCTTCTTCAATTCCTGATCTCAGCTATTAGGTCATCCAATATTCATGGCTATCATAGATGCTCTGGCTGCCTCGTATTCAATCATTTTAAAAAATGTTCACCATTTTCACTTCCTAAATAGTTCCTTAATATATCCCTACTCAGACCTGCTCTTTCTTAATGTGTCTGAGTCTTTACCTCTAAGGAGGATAGCTCTTTTGTCCAATGACCCTTTGGCAATCTGGTGACACCTTCAAAACCAATTAAAATACAATTAAAGTTTTTTAGAATTTGTCATACAGAAATATAAGTGCATCTTTGCCAACGTGATGAAATGAAATAACAAGACTTAAAGGTGGGCCCAAATAACAACAAGGATAATTTCAAACTGGTGACGAGAATAGCCATATTCTGAGAGCTGCATAAACTGTAATGAGATATGAAAATATCTGTGATTTCTATCGGTGACAGTCGTAGGTACGGCTGATACTACTGTAGTTTGTTGCCAACATATAACAGAAGAAAATGCTAAATTTCAGTTAAGGATTAGCGAAAACAATGACATACTTTGTTTCCTACTCAAGGTCTCTACGGATCCCTCGGGGTGAACCTCCTCCTAGGAGTAGAACCATTGAGAAGAGCGCTCCGGCCTCCTAGAGAGGAAGCACGCGACGCTGGGCGCGAGGCCAACGTAATGACACACTTCCGCTGACGCAGCATTTACCGTTTTTTCCCCAGGTGAGTGCTGTGGTTTGTCGCCCAGGAGTCGTCGCTAGGCGCAGGCACTTCAGCTATAGAGAAGGCTGTCGGCTTCGTCCCTGCTGCCGCAGTGGAGGGAGTCAGGGCGGCGCCTCCGGGTCCGGGGAGCGAAGGCTGCTCGCGGACCGGTCACACTCTCCCTTGGGTGCCTTCGCTCCCCAACGCCCGCGTCGGCGCCTTGGGTATTGGAGGCTGTGGATATGGGCGGCTGGATGGAAGGGAGGCTTGTGCTCTGGACACAGCTCAGACCTCATCTGCATATTGGGCCACAGCTGCTTACTGAGCAGCTAAGTGCCGGTTGCTGCTCTAGATTCCGGAGATGGCAGCAGTGAATCAGGCGGGGTGTGGGCTCCGCCCCCAGGGAGCTTTCAGCCCAGTGGGAAAGTCATGTATCAATCACCTCTGGTCATTTCACTCCACCTGCCCGTGACTTAGTGCCTGTAGGTCAAAGACCAAGTTCTTGACCTGCACAAAGCATGGTTTTGCCCCTTGTGACTTACTCAACATCATCTAGCAGCGCACTCCCCCTTGACTGTGCTGCTACAGTCTTCTTGACGATTCACTACTAGAACATAGCTTTTGCATATGCTGCTACTCTTGCGAAGGTTTCCTTTATACTTTAGCTAATTTATGTTCTTAAGCTTTCCCATCCAGGTTAGTTTCCCCTGGCAGTGATCAAAGTTGTGAACTTAAAAGTTATGTGAGGCTGGGCGCGGTGGCTCACGCCTGTAATCCTAGCACTTTGGGAGGCCGAGGAGGGTGGATCACGAGGTCAAGAGATCGAGACCATCGTGGTCAACATGGTGAAACCCTGTCTGTACTAAAAATACAAAAATTAGCTGGGCATGGTGGCACACATCTGTAGTCCCAGCTACTCAGGAGGCTGAGGCAGGAGAATTGCTTGAACCCAGGAGGCGGAGGTTGCGGTGAGCCGAGATCGCGCCATTGCACTCCAGCCTGGGTAACAAGAGCCAAACTCAGTCTAAAAAAAAAAAAAGTCTTTTGAGAAAGTCTTGGTTAATGTATGTTTTTCCTTTAGACAAAGCTCCGCAAGGCACAGGATCGTGCTCCTTCTCTCTCTACTTCATCTCTTGTGTCACACGTGACTGGGTGGGAAATAGGTATGCAATAAATGTTTGTTGAATGAAGAAAGCACAAATCAGTGGTATATAGGAAAAGGAATGTGGTATGAGTGGAGTGTTTAACAAGAACACCAGACTTGGTCTGTAGAGACATGATCTGAAGGTGAAGGGTGGCTAGATTACTGGAGAGTATGGCAGGCAGAGAATCTCAGTTACAATGGTTCTGAGGTTGGAGAAGAGTAATTCATACAGAACAAACAGTAGGTATGAAGGTCCTGAGTTAGCGTAGAGGAAACTGAAAGGCAGCCATTGTAGCTAAACTAAGAGAAAAGAGGAAGGTGGCACAAGATGAGGCTGGCAGAAAACTGCATCATGCGTTAAGTCCCTATAGGGAAGATGTTAGCTTTTTATAGAATATTGCTGTTTAACAAGAATACAAAGTGTCTGTAGGGGATGATATAGTTAAACCAATAATCCAGATGTTTTAGTGTGTTGAGGTGGCCCTTCAGGATCCTTTGGTAGTCAGTTTCTGGTTATTACCAGGCCGTTGAATGGGGGAGTGAACTAAAAAGATGCCTGCCCCAGGTCCAAGTAAAGGAAGACTTACTCTGGGATGTTTTTCCTGAATTTTCTTGGCCAATCTTGTTTATTCTTTTATGTTAACCTTAAAATCATTTTGCCAAGTTCTAAAAGCATTCATTTTAGGATTACTGTTGGAACGAATTTAGTGTAGTTATTAAAAGCATGACTTGGCCAGGGGCAGTGAAACATGCCTGTAATCCCAGCACTTTGGGATGCCAGTGTGGGTGGATCACTTGAGGCCAGGAGTTTGAGACTTAGCCTGGGCAACATGATGAAACCCCATCTCTACTAAATGTATGAAAATGTGCCAGGTGTGGTGATGCATGCCTATAATCCCAGCTACTTGGGAGGCTGAGGCAGGAAAATTGCTTGAACCTGGGAGGCAGTGGTTGCAGTGAGCTGCGATTGTGCCATTGCACTCCAGCCCAGGTGACAGAGGTACACTCTGTCTCAAAAAAAAAGACAAAAAACAAAACTAAACTAAAACTGACCTTTGAAGCCTGGTAGATCTAGTGTGGGATCTAAGTTCATCCATTCACTGGCTGAGTGTCTTGGTAGAAGAAATTATTCTCTTATCCTTCTCATTCGGGAAAAATTAAACGTTTGAAAAATTGTTGTGAGGACTAAATAATAGGCATTTTCCACCCAAAAAAATGACACTTCCTGTTTTTTAACCTCTTATGTTCTCAGTAAAATTGATTTTTAAAAATAAAGGTTTGGGATCTTGTTAAGTTTTGCTCTGAGTTTATTGGTGTCTTTTGCTTGTTTTGCTCTTTATTTAGCTTGGTGTTGGTGAGGACAGGCTCTGGTGTCCTAGGGTAAGTTATTTATTCTTTCAAAATCTGTTTTCTCAGAATTAAAAGCCTCATGGTATGGTGTGGACTAAGAAGTACATATGTATACACCACTTATCCAGTGAGCATTTAGTAAGTGATTGCTGCTTGTTATTCGCAAATTTGTTACATTAAAGAGAGCCTTTTACTGGGCTGAGCTCACTGTTGGTTCTCTTTATTTCTTCCCTCAGCCTTTGCCTCCTAAGAGGGGGCCCAGGTGATGGCAGCCATACCTCTGAAAGCTCAATGCCAGGTAAGCTGTGGATCCCTGAGGTCAGCTTTATGGAGTTCTGATTTGAATGAAGTGAGGGGTGGGAGCAGGTAGATAACGGTGATCCTGGCAAGTCTTAGAGCCAAAACAATAGGAAGACCCCTGTTGATTCCCTCAACTGGGTGCTGGGGAAAGAGCTAGGGCCAGTGAAGATGGAAACAGGAGAGAGTTACCTGGAAAGCCGAAATACAGCCTCCTGAACACTGAGAATCTCTCTTGGGCTGGAGAATCCCCAGGTTCAGTACCTGTCCTCCTGCAGAGGGAATTCTGAGAATGAGGGACTCAAGTTGGTGACGTAGGAATCGAGGATAGGATGGAAGTGATCAAGATCAGCAAGGGCACAAGGTTCTTGGAAAGTAGGAGTGGACGGACAGCAGGAAGAAGACAAGAAAGAGGGGGCCTGTCTCCTTCGTCCTCCGAAACGAAGAAGGAAGTTTGGGCTTCAGAATCAGGGAACATATATCCTTGAGGTCACTACTGCTGGCTAAGCGAGGCAGTGGGCTGTGATCGGAAAGTCTACACTAGGACAGGACACCTGGAGTTAGGGATTTCATTAGGCCTCAGAGGCGTGGTAGCCTTGAGCAAGTCATTGACTGCTTTGCATTGTAACTGGATTCATTTGTAAATGCACATAAGTACATTACATTTATGGGATGGGAATTGATTTCCCGAATTATATTTCACTTTTTGAGCTGGAGTTGCTGCTTGGTCATTTCCTTCTTCCTGGCACTTATTTATCTAGTAACTTAGTACCCGTGAACCATATCCCGAGTCCCAATTGCATATTCTTACATCCTTCAGTTTTCTCTACCTGACTGTCTCACTGATATATCAGCTTCCCTGGAGTTCCTACCCTCTTCTGGTTTTTCCACAAGTCTCTGACATCACACTATATTGTAGTCCTGATTAATCAGTTTCTAAATTGCTGCGTAATTGTTGACTGTGTTCTTCCCAATACCATTTCTAGAGAGACACGAAGTCTTGTTTTTTCTTCTCCCTCTTTCACTTGGGCCATCTTTTCTATTACATTTAGAGTTTGTCATTCCTTCTCTGGGATTTTGTTTGCAGAGCTTCCTGGATAGATTATGTATAGATGTGCACCTTCCCATTACCTTGTCACCTGATACACCTCAGTTTCCTGAGTTTGGATTTTATCCTCCAATACATGGTTCTCAAACTTCAGTGTACATCAGAATTACCTGGAAGACTCACTGAAGCATGGACTGCTCTCACGATGGGGCCCGAGAATTTGCCTAACAAGTTCCCAAGTGATGCACCAGCTACAAGAACATAAAGTGTCCGTAGGGGATGATATAGTTAAAACAATAAACCCGATGTTTTAGTGTGTTGAGGTTGCCCTTCAGGATCTTTTGGGTAGTCAGTTTCTGGTTATCACCAGGCCCTTGAATGGGGCAATGAACAAAAAAGATGCCTGCCCCAGATCCAAGTAAAGGAAGACTTCCTTGGGGACTTTTTTTCCTGAATTTTCTTGGCCATTCTTGTCTATTCTTTTATATTAACCTTAAAATCATTTTGCCAAGTTCTGAAAGCATTTCTGTTAGGATTGCTATTGGAAAGAATTTAGTGTAGTTATGAAAAGCGTGACTTGGCTGGGTTTGGTGGCTCATGCCTGTAATCCCAGGACTTTGGGAGGCCGAGGTGGGTGGATCATTTGAAGCCAGGAATTTGAGACTAGCTTGGGCAACATGATGAAACCCTGTCTCTACTAAATTTATGAAAATGCGCCAGGTGTGGTGGCACACGCCTATAATCCCAGCTACTTGGGAGGCTGAGACCCTACTCTGAATACCACTGTTCTAGTTTGTGGTGATTCATTCAAGAGGTTCCTTCTGGAGTTGATGGGGTCAGGTTGTTAGCTGGGCAGAGGATAGATTCAGTGGGGGACAAGCCTGGAAGTGGAGCTAAAGTGTTCCCAGCTGTTGACCTAGTTGCTGATTGTACCATGGTGAGGAAGAGTCAGATTCCAGAAATACGTAGGTGATAAAATTGGCAGGACTTAACTGTCAGCAGTTAGTGACGATGGGGCTTTGAATGTCTAGGATTAATCTCAAGTTCTAGCATTAGAGAGTGGGCTGAAGTTGGTGTTATTAACAGAGAGGGAAAAGTTCTGTCACTCACTATGCCACTTAGTTTATATAAATTAGAATGGGAGCCATTTTGGGGAAGATGAGTTTGGTGTTGCATGATGAGCCAGTGTATTGGGTCATCCAGAGAGTCTGAGGCAGTGCTGGGGTGAGGAGGATGTGGAGATGTACAAAATCAATTGAGGCATTGGAAGGTGGGAGTATATACCCTGAGCACTCTGGTAATGAAGTTTAATACCCACATCTGAGGAGTGACTAGAGGCTCTAAACCAGATGCCAGAACTTTGTGGAAAGGTAGAGTTGAGGCCAGCAGAGAGGGAAAAGAGTATCGAAAAAGCACGAGGGACTGGGCATGGTGGCTCATACCTGTAATCTCGGCACTTTGGGAGGCTGAGGCAGACAGATCCCTTGAGCCCAGGAGTTCAAGACCAGCCTGGGGAACATGGCAAAGTCGTGTCTCTACAGACAATACAAACAGTAGCCAGGCATGGTGGTGTGCACCTATAGTCCCAGCTACTCAGGAGGCTGAGGTGGGAGTCTCATCTGAGCCAGAGGTGAGCTGAGATTGTGCCACAGCACTCCAACCTGGGTGACACTGTCAAAAAAGAACAAAAAACAAAGAAAAAAAGGAGAAAAATAACAAAAACTAAAACTAAAACCCCAAGATGCATGAATCTTAGTTGGCAGAAGCTATTACAGATTGTCTTGAGGTATAAAGATAAGGAGCTAAAAGAGCTACCCAGCAGCAGCCATTTAATTCTGGAAGCGTCATTTTCTAGAAAAACCCATCAAGGAGCAGAGTGGATTGTACCAGGAGACTCTCAGCTCCCTCTGCAGGATGCTCTTGAGCACAGGCAGCACAGCCCTTTATCAAGAATCTTAGGGGAGTTTAATGAGACAGACCCATCAGTGCAAACCATAACTCTGTTCTTGTTTCATGGGCATAAGGTTTGGGGCAGGGTGAGCACATGTGGGGAAGAGATGGATTGGCTGGGAATAGGGAGTATCTAATAGGAACATGTAGGTCCTGAGATACCATTTGAAGCAAATTGTTCACTTGTAGGTGCAACACCAAAAAAACTGAAAATATTTACGAAATCAAAGATTTTACCGTAGGAAGGTTAACTAATAAACTTTTTCCTTAGGGTATAAAAATGTTAAATCACATTTTATGACAGTAAATTTTGTATCCTAATGGAAGCTCTTCTGGTAGTGAGAGAAGTTCCAGAGTTTTGCTTGTAGAAATAGTCATATAATGGTCTAATATCCAGTTCTTTTCACCTTTTCTCATTACGCATTCCTCACAGGACCTACCCTCAACCCCCTACCTGTCCTCTGTGCCCCAGACTCTGGCCTGGAGCCAGAGGATTGGCTCTGGGGTAGCGGGAACCTGTTGTTTTAGGAGACAGTGACCTTTGAGGATGTGGCTGTGCACTTCACTAAGACAGAATGGACTGGCCTTTCTCCTGCCCAGAGGGCCCTGTACAGAAGTGTGATGTTGGAGAATTATGGGAACCTGATTGCTATGGGTAAGACGATTTTCCTCCTAGGACTCAGATCTGTTCTTTTCAGTTTTCTTCCTTCTTTTACAGACTGGGTGATGGGTGTGGTGTGGAGAGGAGAAGTTGTCTCTTGTGTCCTCCACTGAGCGACTACAGGGCTGAGGCTCAGTGACCAACTTCAAAGATTGCTGGGTAGAGAGAGGTCTTGAGTCACTTTGGCCTCCCAGTGAAGGGAATTACTGTCCTCTGGTAGGAGTATGTTTCTTCTTCCAAGGGGCTCTGCCTAGTAAGTAATAAGTAGTGTTTGTTGTCTGGGGAAGAACGTGTCTTCTCCCCTGTGTTTGCTCATGTCTTGCAGGTCTCACTAACTTAATTTTTCTTGATTTTTTTTTAGGAAGAAGTCACAAATGCTCAGTTTCCTCTTGATCAGAATCTCTTTGGCCTTCCCCAGTCAAGAACTCTCTTCTCTGGGTCTTATTCTTACTGAAACTCCTAGGGTTTTCCTTCTTTTGAAACACCAGATACAGGGCTGAAAAGTACCATTTTCTTCCTCTTTTTAGGGTACCCAGTTCCCAAACCTGCACTGATCTCACTCCTGGAGGGAGGGGACATGGCTTGGGGCCTGGAAGCATAGGATGATTCCCTGGCAGAGGGGACCAAAAACATCTGTAAACGTAGGTGAGACAGGTTTAGAACCAACAACTGTAGAGTTTTATGGAGCACTGTATTTAAAAGCGAACCATGCTGAGCAGAATTGAAATATAATAGATGATTTCACCTAATAACTAAAATTTGAAATCTTTCCCACCAATCTTAACTCTTACTAACTTGTAACCACTCATTATGTCTAGTCAACAATCCTTGAATCCATTGCTCCTTTCTTAATTGCAACATTGCCTACCTCAGTGTTCTTCTTTGGTTGGGATGGATTTATTCAGAAGCAGTTTTTGAACAACTTGCTATGTACTGAACTTTGTTTAAGAAGTTCTGGAAGATACAAGTTATGGAGGCAGATGTAAAAAGCTAAAAAGAAAAGTTTTAAGTGCTATTAGGGATAGGATAGCTAATGTGAAGGTAAAATGGACCAGATCTTCCCGAAGGTTGGCCATAAACGGGGAGAGCTGAGTCAGATAACACTGGGAAGTCATGGCATGAGAGGAGTTTTGTTTTTTTTTTTTAATTCAAAGAATTCAGAACTGAGCACAGGATGAGAGATTCCTTTAGAATAGGCAAGTGGATGACTAGAGCAGGCCATTGAGAAGGTGGGTGGAGAGTCTGAGATAAAAGGCAGGTCTGAAAGGGTACTCTTAACACAGCTGGGTTGAAATGACCCCCAAGGAGAAAAAAGGAAGGCTGAATCTTAACCATTAAGGTATATTTAATTTCAGTGAGAGACAGAAGAGAAAATAGTCAAATGGTCAGATGGGTGCCACCAAGAGCAAATAGTGAAGTTGAAGGCAGAGACAGGAGGTTCAGTGCAGTTGGTCTGCAGAGAGCAAGTAAATGGAATGTGATGAAGCTGGGGCAGCACTTCAGTCTCAGTCTAAGAATCTGAAAAAGAATCATCAAGACAATTGAGAAGCTGGTGGTCTGTTCTCACATTCCTCTCTCTGGTGATGATTCTTTTTCAGACTCTTGGTTACCACCTTTACTTCCATCTCAGATTACTCCTCTCCCAGCATTCTCCTTTGGAGTTCACTTACTCCTTTAACTCGCACTCATAGGATGAACTTGATTAACCTGCAGATGAGTTCCAGGTACTGATGTGAAAGTTGAAATGATCTCTTTTAAAGCCTTGTCATTTTCAGTGCTCCATCTAGTATAGTTCTCAGGTGGCATTATTTGTGTTTTTTATCTGTTATGTCAGATGCTGAGACCAACACTGACAGTGAGTCCATATTAACCCAGAAAATTTCTGAAGAAAGAGATGGGGTGATGTCACATGGGCAGCTGAAGAGTGTCCCTCAGAGAACTCACTTCCCAGAAACGTGATGTGGAGAAGTACCAGGACATCCCCACAGTAAAAAACATCCAAGGGAAGGTTCCAAGAATCCACTGTGCAAGGAAACCTTTCATATGTGAGGAGTGTGGGAAATCCTCCAGCTATTTTTCTTACTATCTTAGACACTATAGAATCCATACTAGGGAGAAACACTTTGTGTGTAATGAGTGTGGAAAAGCCTTTAATGGCAATTCTTCATTAATTCGGCACCAGAGGATTCACACTGGAGAGAAACCCTATCAGTGTGAGGAGTGTGGGTGAGCCTTTAATGATAATGCAAATCTGATCAGGCATCAGAGGATCCACAGTGGGGACAGACCCTATTACTGCATAGAGTGTGGGAATAGTTTTACCGGTAGTTCTGAGTTTGTTATACATCATAGAATCCACAATGGGGAGAAACCCTTTGAGTGTAGCGAGTGTGGCAAAGCTTTTGTTGGTAATTCACCCCTACTTCGGCATCAGAAAATCCACACTGGAAAGAAACCCTGTGAGTGTAATGAGTGTGGCAAAAGCTTTGGAAGGACTTCCCATCTAAGCTAACAGCGTATTCACACAGGGGAAAAGCCTTATTCTTGTAAAGTATGTGGACAAGCCTTCAGTTGTCATACAAAACTAACTTGGCACCAGAGAATTCACAGTGAGGAGAAGGCCTTTGTGTAGATTGTGGAAAAGCCTTCAGTGCTCAGGGACAATTAAAATGGCATCTGAGAATTCATATTCAGGAATCTTCCTATGTATGTGATGAGTGTGGAAAAACCTTCACTAGCAAAAGAAATCTTCATCAGCATCAAAGAATCCATACTGGAGAGAAACTCTATGGGTGTAGCAAGTATGAGAAGGCCTTTAGGACTTCTTCCCAGCTAGGTTATCTTGAGCATGTGCACTCTGGAGAGAAGCCTGTGCTAGATATTTGTCGTTTTGGCCTTCCAGAATTTTTTTTTTTTTACCACCTTTTACTGGTAATAGTACAGTGAAATGTACTGAGTGGATTCTGTCACTCAGGAATGGAATGTGTGACCCAGGACTGGCTCAGCCTCTGATTTGTCCCTCAAGCCACAGTTACTGATTCAGATGTTAGTATATGACCAAAGATGGTCTAATTAGAGTTCCAGGATTGCAAGAGCTAATAGGAAGAAATACTCTCCTTCTGCACCCCAACTGGTTTTAACGCTGAGAAGAACTAGATTCTCACAGAGGCTGAGAATGAAGTCAACACAGTAAAAAAGGCATCTGAGAATTGGAGAGCAGTTAAAGACTGAAGATAGTGTTTAAATGGCCACATCAGACCGTAGCCAATAAATTCCATTTTTGTTTGGCTGTTTTTGGCTTTGGCACATATGATTTAACTCTTCTTCCCTTGGAACAGAATTTTGACTTAAACAGTGTTGTTAGTCTTCAACATGTTATCCCTGAAGACTTACTTGAAAAGTCTTCAGGGATAACATACCCAAATGGATGGAGAAATGTTTTGTGCATATGTTATGTAGGAAAGTCTTCAGTAATAGCCATAGCAGTTCCTAAACCCCATGATTGTAATGAGATTGAGAAGCCCACTGTGACACTGGAGAGCCCAGGTTGTATCAGACACCACAAGTAAATAGAAATTCTAACAACTTGAGCTCTATAACAAAAATCTCGTGTAACAAAATTATGTCTGCACCAGTGAATCTGTTCTCAAGAAAAGTCTTAACTAGAAAACTAAAGCCTTTCACTCTAAAAGCTTTTATTTTCTGCTTATTCAGTTTTCTATTTGAAATGAATACTATTCTAGGCATTAAACTGGGAACTGCCAGGCTATTGTAGCTATTATTGCTTGGTATTTGCTGTTTTAATTCCTAGGACAGCATGCTCACTTTGGCCTTTGACCTGGCTAGGGAGCCAAGGAACTGCTCTGGTTCTTAGTCATAAGACACTGCAGAGATACCTGAGTAGGAAAACAGAGCTGGCCCTTTTCTTTGGTGATGAACATAATCTGCACACTTCTTTTTCTCCCATGTGCCCTCCTGCTGCCAGCCAGTGTTGGAATCTTGTTACCCAATTTCAGACTTAATGGCTTACTGAGTCTAATAATTGGGTGGCTTCACCACCTCTTCCTTACTTGCCAGCAGATGAATGAGCAGTTTTATCCTGTGCTTGGGTTGACCAATGAATGACAGACTTGGGGAATTAAGTAAATCCTTTTTAATTGAAATCTAGCACAAACATAGAAATGCATGAGTTGGCTGGGTGTGGTGGCTCATGCCTGTAATCCCAGCACTTTGGGAGGCCAAGGTGGGCAATTAAGGTCAAGAGATTGAGACCATCCTGGCCAATGTGGTGAAGCCCTGTCTCTACTAAAAATTAGCTGGGCGTGGTGGTGCACGCCTGTAGTCCCAGCTCCTTGAGAGGCTGAGGCAGGAGAATCACTTGAACCCCAGAGGCGGAGGTTGCAGTGGGCTGAGATTGCATCACTGCACTCCAGCCTGGTGAAAAAGCGAGACTCCCCTAAAACCCAACCCAACCCAACCCAACCCAACCCAACCCAACCCATCCCCAACCCAACCCAACCCAACCCAACCCAACCCAACCCAACCCAACCCACGTGAGTCATGTTTGTACAACTTGAGTTTTTTTCAAAGAACATAGCACCTTACAAGTCTCCCTGTACCTTATTACAGTTCTTATGGAACCTTTACCCTGACTTCTATCACCAGAAATTATTTGTTCTTTTGTGTCAATGGAATAATCAGTACAGATTCATACTCATTGCTATGTAGTATTTCATTACATGAATATACCACAATTTATTGCTTACTGTTGGTGGGCATTTGGGTTATTTCAACGGGGATCATTTTGGAGGCAGAAAATCTAAAAGCCAACCAGAAAAAAAATGGTTTAAAGTATGGTGGTCAGGGGCTGTTTCAAATGGTGCTGCTTCAGCCCAGCTGCCCTGTAGTAAATGATAACAGCAGTAAATTTTTTTGGCACTTAACGTATGACAGACACTTTCCTAATCACACAGATTTACTCAGGACTATAACTTTATGAAGAGTGTGCTATAATTAGCTCTATGTTACAGTGAGGAGTCATTAATTAGGTTGCCCAGGGATACAGTAGTGGAGTAGGTATTCAAACCCAGGCCGTCTGGTTTCAGGACTTGTGTTCTAACTGTTGGATGATACGGTCCTATAGAGGTTGTATGTAAAGTATGTGATGCTGTGTCTTGGTAACAGAAGAGACTGTTGAAGGAAACAGATATGCTCCTTTGGGGTGGAGGAGAATATTAGGATCAAGTCAAGCTGGGGAGGCTATGCTTGGCTTCACACAATGGGAGGTGGGAAATTGGCATCAGAGGAAACTATAGGTTGAGATGGAATCATAAGACATGTCCAGTACAGACTGTCCCAGAAGAGCTGTCGTGAAGGAGGTAGGATGCCTCCAGTATGCAGAGGATCTGGTCCCTGACTTACTGCCTTTGTACCTCTCAACACCTTCTGCAAATGGGTGTCTTCATGTCATGTACCTGAACCAGAGAGCTGTCTCCACTGAGGTCCAAGCGAGACCCCCTCACTTCAGCTTTGAGGTGTAGGGATAGCTGAGTGAGGTTTGCTTCCTTTCTTCAGGACTTCACTAGTTAGCTCCCATGGCCCTAACCTCAGTGCCACTGTCAGGAAGCCCCCTGCAATTGAGTAACTGTCCCTGAATCAGTTATGATTAATATATTAGTTTTCTTTGGCTTCTTAACAACAGCAATCTATTCTCATAGTTCTAGAGGCTAGAAGTCTGAAAACAGTTTCCCTGGGCAGAAATGGTTTGTCAGCAAAGCCACACTCCCTCAGAAGGCTCTAGAGCAGAACCTGGTCTTTAAGCTGCTGGTGACTGCCAGCATTCCTTAGTAGCAACATCACTCCAGCCTCTGCTGTCTTCACATCACTTTCTCTGTTCAATCTCCCTGGCGTCTCGTGAGGGCATTTGTGATGGCATTTAGGACCCATCCAGATAGTCCAGGATAATTCCTTATCTTAGGACCTTTAATTTAGTCACACCTACAAGAACTTTGCCATTTAAGGCAACATTCATAGGTTCCAGGAATTAGGACCTGGTATGGATGACTATTATTCGGCCCACCACCATCACTGAGGTTCATCTGTAGAAAACTCCCCAAACAAGACATCCTAATACAAGATAGAATTTGTCTCAGGAGTCTGGAGATAACCCAGGGCAGCTAAGGCAGTTGTATAATGTCAGTGGGGAACCAATCTCCTTCCAAAGTACCACTTGGCCATCCTTAATGGGGCCATTTTCCTTATGGTCCCAGGTGGCTCCTAGAACTCCAACTATCAAGAGCTTCTTCCGGACAGTAGAGGAAGAGGAAGAAGAGTATTCCACTTTGCCTTAAAGAAGACTTTCTGTAAGTACCACAGAACACTTGCAGTTGAATATTTATGTCAAGAACTTAGTCACATGACTATACCTGGCTGCCAAGGACATTATATCCTCTAGTTGAGTGGTAGTGTGCTACATCAAATGACTTCATGGTTTTGTTTAGGAGGAGGAAGGAGAACGAATGTTTGAGTGGCTAACTAGCAGCCTTTGCCATGGCATATGACTGCCATCGAATTCAACATGTCTAAAAACTTTGGTGTACAGCTGGCTGTGCTCTTTGAATTTAAATGTGTGTAATAACTCTAGGATAGGTGCTATATTTATCCCCAGTTTACAGGTTGGGAACAGTGAAATCCAGCAGATTGATGGGAGGATACAGCAGATGCCTCTCAAATACACTCACATCACTTTGGCATACCTCTGGCTTTCACTGTAGCTGTGGTGAACAGTTGTATGTTAACTTAGAGCTCCCCTTGCACTGCTCAGACACTCTGTATACCTTTTGACGTTCTGCCTCAGACACATTTCCAGAGCTCACTCGATTAGGAAGCACAGCCTGGGAATACACAGGGCAAGTTAGCAATCCCAGAAAAACCCTTAATAATGCCAGACAAGAGCTTGAGGATTAAGGTTTCAGTCTCTCACCTTTCAAGTGGACAGTTAGAGGAGGAATTTTTTACTCTTTTCTGGAGCTCCCAGTGCTCATAGCATCAACCTTTAGAATACTTTATATTGTCATTTCCTCCTGTCCTGTCTCACTGGGTTCTTTTAGTCCTGCTTCCTGGGATCATCTCCTGAATAAATGGGCATTTGAGTCCTTGTCTCAAGCCCTAACTTCATGGGAACCCAAACTAAAGAGAGGAAGACAGAACCTTCAGGCAATGAGAATGTGTCTTATATTCCAGTAGTGAATATCAGTAGTCTACTCAACTGGAATCTTTTAGATGTTAGAGGATGGCCCCAATGAGCATTTCTGTGATGGAATCCCATTCTGTTTTCAGTGGTGGCTGCACATTTCTGATTTCTACTTCAAAGAAGCTTCCTCTCAGAGCAGCTGTGCTGTAGGGCACAATGTTTTTCTGTGTATCAGTAATGTGCATAATTTTAGGTAGACTAAGTTGTTTGTGTAACTGTAGCTCTGTGTATTCAGGAGCTAAACATGGTGAATATCACAGTGATCAGCCTGTGAGGAGGAGCTGGCAAGGCATGTCCCTCAGATTATCAACTAAAATGAGCACTTGGGGTCATGCAAATAGAAGAGTCCTTAGAAGTGTGCCACATACAATAAATGATTTTATTAATTACTCATATTTTTTTTTGAGACAGGATCTTGCTCTTCCACCTAGGCTGGAGTGCACTGGCATGATTGTGGCTCACTGCAGCCTTGACCTCCCAGTCTCAAGTGATTCTCATACCTTAGCCTCCCTAGTAGCTGGGACTACAGGCATGTGCCACTGCACCCAGATAATTTTTATGTTTTCTGTAGAGACAGAGTTTCACTATGTTGCCCAGACTTGTCTAGAACTCCTGAGGTCAAGCAATCATCCCACCTTGGCCTCCCAAAGTGCTGGAATTACAGGCATGGGTCACTGTGCCTGGCAACAAATATTTATTTAGTGACTTCCGTGTGCTAAGCAACATGCTAGCTGATTGCACATGATGGTAGAACATGTTGTTGATGAGCAACATGGAGCTTCTCTCCAGTTCCTGCTGCTACTGCCCTGTTCTGAGCCACCAACATTTATTTCCTAGGCTACTGCAATTGCTCTTTAAGTAGTCTTCCCACTTCTGCTCTTGAATCTTTCTAATCTATCTGCCAATCAGCAGCCAGAGTGTGCTTTTAAAAATATAAAACGTAACATGCTTCTCTTAAAAAATTTCAATGTGTTTCCATTGACCTTAAAATAAAATCCAAGCTCTTTAACGTGCTGCAAAGCTCTAATGATTGCACTTCCTCCCTCTTCTCTACCCGTGATGTGTCAAGCTTTCTTTTTTTCCACTGGAGGGTCTACAAATTTGTTATTCCTGCTGCTTGGAATGGTCTCTCTTTGATTATGTGCCCAGATATCTCACAAGTCTTAGCCCAAGGTCACTTCCTCAGGCCTTTCCTTATCTCCCAGTTAAAGTGGAGGTGACGAAATATCCCTTGATACTGTCTCCTAAACACACTTTGCCTTTTTTTTTTTTTTGGTGAGATGGAGTTTCGCTCTTGTTGCCCAGGCTGGAGTGCAATGGCATGATCTTGGCTCACCGCAACCTCCGCCTCCCGAGTTCAAGCGATTCTCCTGCCTCAGTCTCCAAAGTAGCTGGGATTACAGGCACGCGTCACCACACCCCAGCTAATTTTTTGTATTTTTAGTAGAGACGGGGTTTCTTCTTGTTGGTCAGGCGGGTCTTGAACTCCCGACCTCAGGTGATCTGCCCGCCTTGGCCTCCCAAAGTGCTGGAATTACAGGTGTGAGCCACCGCTCACAGAGGGGAGCAGCACCAAGTTGGAGGACGATGGTTCCGACGCAGCCCCAGAACCTTGGAGAGCTCCACAGACACCCCGAACGAGTCGGACTAGCACCTTGGACAGCACCACAGCTTCGTTGTTTTCTACTGCCATCCCTTGTTCCTGGATGGTATTATCAACACACGTTGCAGTGGTCACTGTTAATTTCCTGGGACTTTCGACTCCTGTGTACCTGACAGTTGTAATCCTCTAAAGTCAGCAGTCCTTTAGAAGGTTCTTTATGACAAGGTGGGGGTTGGGATTCTTTCTCTTTCTAGGAACTTCAGCATCAGAGCTGATAATTGGACCGACTCCCTTGGGAGCTCTATGGGATTGGTACCTAGTATAATTGTGTTATTCTGGAGGCCAACATCCTTAAAATTAGGGGAAAATGTATACTAACTGGTTGTACTACCTAAGGAAGAATGGTCAGGGCTCTTCCTAGACACATATAAGCAAACTATCAGGCAATGCATGTGAGAAAGAAGATATATTGTATTCATTTGGAGACAGGTTCCTTGATTCTTTTTCATATCCTCTTTTCACTTGCTAACCCCCACCTGTTAACCTCCTTTCAGAAACATACAATGGATTGGATCTGCTTTCTCTGTGGTAAAAAGCTTCTGAACTTGATTGTTGTTAGCAAGTTTCTGTGAAGTTATGCACAAAAAACTTGGAGTTTGGCACTGTAAGTCTTTCTCCTAGTTATAATATGTCATATTTACAAACTTATGCATTAATAACTCTCTTATTGACAAAAGGTATAATCAGGTCCACAAATAAGTTAGAGGAGGGGAAAAGTAACATTAATTGAGCAACTACTGAATACTGGTCCCTGTTGTATGTACTTTATGTTGTATGTATGTGTAGTATTTACAGCAACTATGCATTATTACTTCATTTTTCAGATGAATCAATGGAATTTTAGAAAAGCTAAGTGGTTGCCTAAGGTCTCATAGCTCGTAAGTGGAGAAAACAGGACTTCTCAATCCTGTACATTTATTTTCAATTTCTTTTTCTCTGTGTTTCCTTTTTGAATAGTTTCTATTGCTATGTCTTCAAATTCACTCTTCTTTTTTACTGTAATGTCTCATCTACTGTTAATCTAATACAATGTATTTTTATTGCACATTACAGATTTTCATCTCTAGAAGTTTAATTTGGGTCATTTTTATATCTTTCATTTCTTCATTAACCTTTTAGATGTATCAGATGTGGTTGTAATAACTTTTAAATGTCATTTCCTACTAATTCTGTCGTGACTATTTCAGAAGTCTATCAGGATTAGTTTTTAATATAATTTTGTGTATTATGAGTTACTACTGGCCAAAGTAGGTAGTATTAATTTAAACTCTATACTTAATGATACAAATTATGATTATGAATTTTTAGGGAATATTTCTACTAACACTTCAAAGCTTAGGCAAGGATCATAAGATTCTTTGCTATCTCTCTTTGTTCATGAGATTTTAAAAAGATTTATCCTTTCATGGGTCCAGGAATTTGGATGAGTATACGTGTGTGAGAAAAATACCTGTTTCTATTCCTTGCTTCATGCCGGTCTCCTATATATTACAATTCTGCTTTCTCAGAAATCAAGATTTACAACTCTTCACCATTCCCACTCATGTTGGCCAAAGCATCAGCTGAGCTCCTCAGGCCAAACCAACACCTCTGGTTTTAGTTTCTTGTTTGGTTTTGGTACCTGGGTACACTTTCCTGTGAGCTAAATATTTAAAATGATGTTGAATATTATTTCTTATTCTAAATTTTGAGATTCTCATTGATATTATTTGCTACATAGCCCTCAACAGAATTCTGAATAGAGTAGAATAATATTTATTGTCTTAAACTCACTGTTGTAAGAAATTAATATAACTATGCCATTTTCTCTTTAATATTTGTCGATATATCTATTTTTCCATTCTTTAACTTTCTTTTTTTTTTTTTTGAGACAGAGTTTCACTCTTGTTACCCAGGCTGGAGTGCAATGGCGCGATCTCGGCTCACCACAACCTCCGCCTCCTAGGTTCAGGCAATTCTCCTGCCTCAGCCTTCTGAGTAGCTGGGATTACAGGCACGCGCCACCATGCCCAGCTAACTTTTTGTATTTTTAGTAGAGACGGGGTTTCACCTTGTTGACCAGGATGGTCTCGATCTCTTGACCTCGCGATCCACCCACCTCGGCCTCCCAAAGTGCTGGGATTACAGGCTTGAGCCACTGCACCCGGCCTCTTTTTTTTTTTTTTTTTTTTTTTTTTTTTTTTTTTTTTTTTTTTTTTTTTTTTTTTATGATGGAGTCTCACTCTATCACTCAGGCTGGAGTGCAATGGTGTGATCTTGGCTCACTGCTGTCTCCGTCTCCCAGGTTCAAGCGATTCTCCTGCCTCAACCTTCTGAGTAGCTGGGACTGCAGGTGTGCACCACCACACCCGGCTAATTTTTTTGTAGTTTTTGTAGAGATGGGGTTTTACCATGTTGGTTAAGCTGATCTTGAACTCATCCTTGTGATCTGCCTACCTTGGCCTCCC